AGAGAGAGAGAGGTTCATACCAGTCGCAAGAGAAGCTTGAGAGAGCTTGGCAACTTGACTTATTCTGAATATTAATAGACGGTAAGTTCTGATGGCGTGGAAACAAGCAGCTCATAATGAAGAATTCGAGGTGATGCAGTAGAAGTATGAATTAGAATGAATGAAGGGCCAGCAATAGCGTGAGAAGTTTGATGATAGAAGATGTCGACGCAGATGACGTTTCCAAGAGCAAACACAATCAAAAGCAGAGACTCGCATGGACGTTTACAGTAGTTGTCTCTAAAGAACTGGACTTCTTAAGGCGGCAAGATTAACTTCCCCTTTTGTAAGCTTTCACATACATTGACTCATTAATTCTCACACGCCCTCGAGTCTCCACAAGATTCAGCCGGTCTCCTAGAAACTGCTTCATACCTGGCCACAAAACACACCAACAATAAACACCCGTTTGCAGATTGCCTTGTGTGGCTTTGCTCATCAGCTTATCGCTCACTAAAGTCAGTCATAATGATTCAGGAAAACAAATGAACACAATCCTACTGGGGAGAGGCAATCTCGTTGACAGCTTCCTTTGTTACGCACCATCGAGAAAACACACATGTGCATACAAACATGATTTTGTTCCTTATCAAGCCTGTGTTTTGATAACTGCCCCACAAAATAACTGTTCCCATTCAGGCTCATTAAAAGTCTACTCAATTAATGACAAATTAATACTGCTATGATTCAGCGAATATGCAGGAGCCTCTAAATGTGAATGTACATATTCTGCATGTAAATGCGTGCCTACATCCTGTTGTGTGTGTTTGTGAGGGAAAGAGAGAAAGGTAGAATGACCTACAATCGAGATTTTGTTACAGGTCAGTATTGCCCCGAAATGAGCATGTTTTCGAAATAGTTTACCTAGTTCGTCAGCACAACAACCCTAGTGGCCTGTAGTTTCTCTTGCTCTTCTTTCTTCCCCAACTAAGCATGCCCGGTGGAGGCAGAAGATATGGCCACGGAGACAAAGCATTGTCTCGTCACTCAACTTCAAACCCCTTAATGTTTTGCCTAACAAGAGTCCACTTCATGTGGATCCATGCCTCAGAATGCTGTTTGAGGCGTCTGTTTGCGCCGTAAACAATAGACTTAGGAAGGGTATACGCCTAGTTTGCTGCAACAGTTGAAGCGATGCCTCGAGATGCGGAGTGAACGGGGGGTACCTGCCTCCTGATGTTGTCTGGAGTCTTAAAAAAATCCTGTATCTACCCCGTTGCCGAGTGAAGCCATAGACTGTCTACAGGTGCATCCAAGTAGTTTTGCGTTACACCTACGCCCGTATCTCTATCCTCCAGACTCAAAGTACCCATTTTTCTGTCTCCCCCTGGTTGCCTCCCTTCTCGTTACGCCTCTTCCTGCGTCCGTCAGGTCGGGGCTGCCATAGTGTCTCGTCGATTAGGCAATCAC